ATTTCAGTATGCTTACAAAAGCGTGCAACCAACAGCACAATCCAATTTTAGAACATTTCCATCACCCCCCAAAAAAACCTTGTACTCTGGTGACCTGTAATCCGTCATTTCTGTGGGTTTGAGTAAAAGGTTTTTAATAGGGGCAGTGCCACCTCCTGGGCCTCATCTAGTCTGAGCTGAGGGTGACATGAGTCCCAGCAATGAACATAACCTTTCATTGCTGTTGAGCTGCTTGATGTGTGTACACGAAGTCTCAGGAGCTGACCACACACAGGAGGGGACTTGGAGGATGGAGGGGGCTAGGGTTGGACCGAGGTGGGAGGCCCAGCTTGGCAGAACTGGACGAGGCTGAGTCTGACTTCTGTCCTGTTCCAGCGGTCAGTGTGCCTGTCCCTGAACCAGTCCCGCACCATCTTTAATCGCTGGAATTATGATAGGTCTGGAGGTCTGGGTGTGCAAAGCGTCTGGCTTTGTGCTTCTTCAGGGTCACAGTAGGTGTTCTTGACTGCAGAGGGCTCTGAGCCCGTCCATGACAAGTCAGTAAAAACAAGGACAACACCCTAAGTTGTTTCAAAAGTGAAAATGGATTCCATAGAACTTCTGTTCACTTGTGGACTGACTTTCCTGCTTTTGGGTGTTAAAATGTCTTTTCCTGGGGCCGGCCCGGTGGCGCACTGCTATAGTGCGCCGTTTGGGAAGTGCAGCAGGCGCTCCCGCCGAGGGTTCGGATCCCACATACAGACCGGTTCCCACTCACTGGCTGAGCGAGGCATGGGAGCAACACCGAGGGTTGCGATCCCGTTGCCGGTCCCGGTCCGGTACGGGCGCGACACTGAGGGTTGCGATCCGTTGCCGGACACGAAAAAAGACAAAAAGGAAAAAAAAATGTCTTTTCCTTTTGAAGTGATAGTGATCGTGGACAGTGACTTTGTTAATTCTCGTCAGAGGGGTAAAGTAATTGGTGAGCCCTCCACTGCCCCCCCCCCGCCCCCGTTAGTTGTAAACATTTGAATGCTTGGAATCTCCGCTTTAGACCTGTCACTGAAACATCCTGTGCACGGGAGGTTCTGTTGGTCTGAACTGCAGCAGAGCCCCCCAAGACCAGAGGCTTACTGGGCTTCCCTCGTGAATGGGGTGGGCCATCCCTCTGGTGGTGGTGGGCTCCTGGGCATGTGTCCTGCCAGCAGCATTCAGCTCAGTAGCCTGTGTGTGGCAGAGCGTGTAGGCAGTGACATGTGTGGCACATCTAGAGCCACACAGGAAGTACCTCTGGAAAATGCCAAACGTCCAAGTCAGTGGTCTTTGAGCGGGATCGCACCCCAGAATCAGCTGTGGAGCTTTGTGAAAGTGCAGATCTTCTGGTCTCACCCCAGAGATTATGGCTGGCTTTGTCTAGGGAGAGGAAGAGGGCCCCAGGGAATTCTGCTGTGCAGCCAAGGCTGAGATGGGCTGCTTTCTTATAGCCCCAAGGAGTTCAGGGTAAAGGAAGCGAGTCCTGTGTTAAATTATGCAGCAATTACACAGGTGGGGAACCCTGCGTCAGTGTCAGGTGCTTCATTTGCTCTGTAGAGAAGTGTGAGTTTTGTGTGGATCTGGCTGAGACCTGTGAGAAATTAAATCACCCTGTGTGTCTAGTTTCCTTTTTTTTTTTAAGTGTCAGGGTATGTAGCCATTTACACTGTCTACCTTAAAATATTTCTAATTTATGTTTTTAATGTAATCTTCTGGGTGTAGATCATGTCCCTGTACCCTGACCAATTCATTTTTACCCCCTTCTTGTAAAAAGGGGAGTAAATTTTCTGCTTTTCTGTCAGCAATGCTGCATGGAAATAAAAGATTGATATCTTTGCCCTTTTCTTACATTTCTTGTTTTAACTTCGTATAACTGTCTGGGGTAAATATTTAGGTACTTCCAAGTGAGTATGGATGTTTTTTCCAGATGGTCAGTATTTTTCAGTTCTCTCCCTTCCTGCCTGCCTTGAGCCTCTCACCGTCTCGTGGCTGCCCTTAAGGGGTCTGTCCACTAGGGTCTTCCTGCAAGGCCTGCCGCTCTTGTTTGCTCTCAGGTGCAGAGTGACCGAGGTCACTGAGCTCTTTATTCTGCCTTCATCCCTGAAGGACATTTTCTCTGGATGAGTTCTGAGCCGACATGTTTTCCTCTTGGGTTTTGAAGTTGCCCTTCTCTGTCTTCGGGCCTCGGTTGGTCCAACGACATCAGCCACCACTTGGAGCCTAAAGTGCCATCTTTCTCTGGCTGCTTTCAAACTTTCTCCTTATTTTTGATTTTCAGCATTTGAACTGTGATGTGTTTAGTTGTGGAGTTCTTTGTACGTATCCTGATTGGAGGGTTGCTGAGCTTCTTGAACCTGTAGATTTATGTCTTTCACCAAGTTTGGGAAATTTTCTGCCATTATTTTTCAAATATTTTCTCTTTCCCATTTCTTCTCTCCCAGGACTCCAGTCATATGTGAGTCACACCTTTGGATGTTGTCCCACAGGTCCCCAAGGCTCTGTTCATCTCCTTTTCAGACTTTCTTCTCTCGTTCAGACTGGGTGATTTCTGCTATTCTGCCTTCAAATTCACTGACTCTTTCTCTTGTCTTCTCCAATTTGCTGTTAAGCCCATCCAGTGAGTTTTCTAATTTCAGGTATTATTTTTCAATATTAGCATTTCCATATTGTTACTTTATGTAGCTTTTATTTCTCTGCTGAGGTTTCCTGTCTTTTTGTTAATCATGACCATGTTTTCTTTTCAGTCCTTGAGAGCAGGGCTTTTGTTGCTGAATTGAAATCCTTGTCTGTTCCAACATCTGGGTTTTCTCTGGGCTGGTCTTTTTTGGCCATCTTTTCTCCTGAGTAGAGGGTGTTTCCCTGTTTCTTGTTTTGGTTAATTTTAGGTTGTATCCTGGACGTTGGGAATGATGCATTGTAGACTCTGGATGAGCATTGTGTGGGAGTGGTGAGGTGGTATCTGTTCATCAGGCAGTTTGCTTGTCTGGGCTGGAGCTCCTAGTTTGCTCCCTTGCAGTGGACAGGAAGTAGCTGATGTGTATTTCCTTCGGCTTCAGCTGCGCTGTTGAAGCATGCCCCACGCCTACCTTGTTTTGGGGTCAGCAAGAGATTTGGGCTGAGTTCACCTGCAGAGTGTGGGTGCCACCTACAGTCTCTCCTTTGGGAAGTACATCCTTGCCTCCCAGCACTGTGCTCACCCCACACTCTGTCGCCTCTTCTTCCAGCCAGTTGGATGGTAGGTTTTCCATTTTATCTCTGGCTGCTCTGGGTGGGGCTCAAGAAAAGCCGTGACAAACAGATGCTTACCCAGGGCTATTGCTTTTGCTTGTCCTTCATTGCCCCCTGATAACTGTTTTTGGAAAACGTCTGCAGAGGGCTTGGTCCGAGAGGAGCTACTGACATGTCATCAGGCTTGAGCACCTTCAGGCCCTCCCAAGAGCCGATAGAGAGTCCCAGAGTTGCGATTTGCTCTGGGGTCCCTGGACTACCTAGAAAACAGACAGGTGCAGATCTGCCACATTGTGTTTATTCCTTCATCCGTTGCTGGGTGTTGGGTGGTCTCTATTTTGAGCTCTTATGACTAGCACTGCTATGAGCGTTCATGTACTGGTTTTTATTTGAACGCCTATTCCCAGTATTCTTGGGCGTACACCTCAGAGCAGAATTGCTGGGTCATGTGGTGACGACTCCTGTGTTTAACCTTGGGAGGAGGCTCCAGCCCATCTTCCACAGCAGCTGAACCATTTTATATCCTGCCCACTGTGTGCAAGTGTCCAATTACTTCAACACTTGATTGTCTTTTTGTTCTCTCCCTGTTAAATCATTAACAGTCACTATCCATTGAGATGCTGGAAAGGCTCATCTTTGCGCCATAGACAGGAACTGAGGATCTTGGAGCAGGATTTAGTAATTTGAAGCGCATTGGAAGAATACAATGATACTTGTTCATTGTTCTGAGTCTTGATCATAAAATCTTCACCAAAATGTGCTGTGGTCAAGAGGGCACCTGAGTAGCTGTGGCTCCTCTCCCCAGGCGTCTGGGCTGGTTGGTGGTGGCTGAGGGTCTCAGGCCGGGCCGGGTGTGTTCCTGGGTGAAACCAGTGGCACATGGTGATGGGGCCATCCTGCAGAGCAGCACCTGGAGGGTGCGAGGTCAACGTCAGGGGCTGGGGACAAGCATTGATGGGCGTGCTTGCTGACCTGGACAGTGCAGGGGTGGCGGGATGGGTTCCAGTGGTTGTAGCTCTTGGTCCTGTTGTCAGATCGTGGAGGGGGCTCCTGTGCTTTGTGGGGTGCTGGGCAAGTGGGGGCCAAGGCAAGCTGGCCTCACAGGTGTGGGACCACACGTTGGCTGCCAGAGGCACCCCCAGCCCCTCAGTGTCCACTGTTCTCCTCATGGGAGATTTGGGTTCTCTTTGGGGCTGATGTGGCAACTTGGTTGCTTGTCTCTCGCAATGCGATGGAGCCTTGTGCCTGCCGCTCCCTGAGGGGACGTCTGCTTATCACTGTGGACCTCATGCGTCAGCCTGCTTGGGTCAAAACTGTCCTCAGTGGTGTTTTAGTAGACATGCTGAATGAGTGAGTGAGCCCAAGAGAATGGAAAATGTTCGTCCACACGAAAACCTGCACACAAATATTCATGTAGCCCGAGTCACGGCTGCCAGAGGTGGAGATGGTCAGCCTGTGCGCCCACTGATGAGTGGATGAATAAGTGCGGCACACACGCGCATACTGGAATATCATGCGGCCGTCTCCACATCTGGTTCCAGAGTATTCTCATCAGCCCACATAGAAACTGTACCTTCCCCATCCCTCTTTCTAGCCCCTGGTCATCATTGATCTACTTCCTTTCTCCGTGGATTGGCCTGTTCTGGATATTTCGTGTAAATGCAGTCGCAAACTATATGGCCTTTTGCGTCTGGCTGTATTCTGGAACAGTTATTCTTAAATGTTTTAGCTAGACATTTGTAATTCTGTTTCTCTTGTAGGCAAAATACATCTCTCAGTGCATTGATGAAATCAAGCAAGAGCTGAAGCAGGACAATATAGCAGTGAAAGCCAACGCCGTCTGCAAGCTGACCTATGTGAGTACTTCCTAGTGGCTAGGCACGCCCCGGCGCCCTCAGGCTTCATGTGTACTCCATGTCTGATGTCTGTCCCTGCGCTCTATATCCATCCTTCTGTCTGTCTCCCTGTCCGTCTGTCTATATGCCCGTCAGACATCCATCGATGCCTTCCGCTGTCAGGTGGCCGTGCAGGGCTGACTCAGACTTGTGGGAGAGGTGTGCTCTGACTGTGTCCACTACATGGCTGGCGTGGGCAGTGGTGGGACATGGGACATGCTGGTGGCCTAGCAGGAGCCCCTGAGCCAGCTTCCCAGGGTCCCATGGAGCCTCTTCTGAGTGGAGGCTGGCAGGAGCGCCGCCTCTCCCTTGCAGTCTCAGCTCTTAGCACAGGCTGGGACAGGAGCCTGATGGGTGGAGCTTGACCTCTGAACCTTCGGGGGCAAGTTCCCTGCTGGGTAGAGTTCCCCACTCTTCTGGCCTGTTTCCTTGTCAGGAATAGGGAGACAAAGGGCTTGTCCTGGGGGGTTCCCTGGTGCTGGCATTTGTCTCATTAGACCTGTTAGGAGGAGCTGATTCACCTATTGTTGGTAGGGGAATTTTAACCAGTACCAGTAAATGCTAGATTTTCAGTTGCAGGATATTTGTTCTCTTTCAGCGTTTGTTATTAACCTGTCTCTGTAGGGTTTTTTTGGTGGCTGGCCGGTACAGGGATGGAACCCTAGGCCTTGGTGTTATCAGCACCACGTTCCAACCAGCTGAGCTAACTGGCCAGCCCAGTCCTGTAGTTGTTAAATGTAAGAGTCATTTGTCGAAAGAAACAGAAGGCCCTGGTGTACGTGTTAGATGAAGTTTGAGTGTTAGGACTGCAAACAGTTTGTTCTTCCATGAGCTGGGAGGGAATATTCGAGGTTGTGGCTGAATGCCTTTGTCTCCGCTGTGGCTTGAGAATAGGAATCACAGTGTCTTCCTCCTCAACAGCTACAAATGCTGGGATATGACATCAGTTGGGCCGCCTTCAACATCATAGAGGTGATGAGCGCCTCTAAGTTCACATTCAAGGTGAGTGTCGGGCGAGGGGCGGCACTGCGGAGAGTCCAGCCCTCATGAGCCTGGTGCCCCCTGTCCCCAAACCGGCCCCTTCGCTGGGTTTCAGATGGCAAATTTATGTCCAGGATGATTTACTTCTTTTTTTTTTTTATTAAATCCTCTTTTTCAAACCTCTTTCTGAAAATCATTATTGAAAAGTCAAGAGGGCCAGCCCGGTGGCGCACTCGGTAGAGTGCGGCACTTGGGAGTGCAGCGGCGCTCTCACCGAGGGTTCGGATCCCACATAGAGACCGGTCCACTCACTGGTTGAGCGCGGTGCGGGCGCGACACTGAGGGTTGCGATCCCGTTGCTGGTCGCGGTACGGGTGCAACACTGAGGGTTGCGATCCCGTTACCGGTCACGAAAAAAGACAAAAAGGAAAAAAAAAAGTCAGGAAAATGTGGGAATTACGCAGCAAGGTGAGGTGGGTGGGGAGACCACATGATCACGTCCCTCAGAGAAACTGTCAGCAACTGTGGCAATAATTAATATTATTCCCACTGAAGTTTATTTTTATGTAATTGATAGTATATCTTATTAAAAGCCTTTCTATATTTCAATATTCATTAACTGAAATTTGATGTACAAAAAAAGCAAAAGAAACCCCAAAAGAACAAAATACCTAAAACCGCTAATGACCTGTCCCAGTATTTCCCAGGCTTTCTCCACGCAAACACCACCTTCATGGTTTTGTCAAATTATGTAATACTGTGTCCATAATATTTTTCTTTCAATTTGAAGTAATATCAATAAAGTGATGGGTTTGTAGGACTGATTCTGTATTTTATTTTATTTTATTTTATTTTTTATTTATTTATTTTTTCCTTTTTGTCTTTTTTACTGACCGGTAACGGGATCGCAACCCTCGGTGTTGCGCCCGCACCACGCTCAGCCAGTGAGCGGAAACCGGTCTCCACATGGGATCCGAACCCTCGGCGGGAGTGCCGCCACACTCCCAAGCGGCGCACTCTCCAGTGTGCCACCGGGCCGGCCCTGATTCTGTATTTTAAATTTTATAAATTACAAGGAATTTGTAACTCTTCAGAAGAATTAATCCAGCACTAACCATTGCACCCAGAGGCCCCACTTGTCTGTCCCCTTGCATCACTGCGTCCTGGACACGTTCTGAGCATTTTTCCTTCACATCGTGATGATCCTGCTTGTGAACAGCTTTGGACATTGTTTTCTTCTCAGTATCATAACACGAGCATGTGCCCCATGTCAGCCAATTTTCTGAAAGTAGTTTTCACACCTGTGAGATTTTCCTGGGATGGATGACGGCTTTTCTTCATGTCTGACCTGCGGGACAGTGGCTGGCTGTGCTGCTGTTCTGTGGGATCTCACATCCGGTCCTGTCCGGGCTGCTGCAGCCCTGAGCTCCTATCTGCGGGTGATTGCCATGGTCGGCTCAGCTTGCTTTGGCAGACGTGGTCGTCCTGCCTACAAGTCACTCTCTGGGAAGAGGTGAAATCCCAAATCCCATCTTCACCAGAATTGGGGTGGCTCCCTGTGCACATGTATTTAGATCATTGTGTGCATTTGGGACACTTCACCCTGGCAGAGAGAGGTCTGAGCCAACATAAAACCAGCATCAGGACTCGCCACATAGGCTCATAAAAACAGTTCCCAGCTGCCTGCAAGTTAGTGGAAATGCAGAATGTTAGTACCAGGACTTGATGGTTTTGGCAAACTTTAAAAGGGCATTAAGTTTTAAAAATCACACGCTCCCAGCTTTGGGGGAATTTCCTTGTTCTGGAGTTTTGAAGAAACTCAGCTTGGTTCGCAGATGGCTTCCTGGTGCCCTGGCCAGCTAGGGGACCTGCCGCCCACCTGTGTGCTCAGGTGTCCGGGCTGCAGGAAGCTGCCGCCGGGGCCTGGGGCCGTTTGGTATAGATGCTCCGGAGCAGGGCTGAGAGGAGGGCTGGGGGCTTTCCGGCGGGGCCTGGGCCGTGTCCCGGCTCCGATGCCTCTGTCTGTTGACTCCACAGCGCATTGGCTACCTCGCTGCTTCCCAGTGCTTCCACGAAGGCACCGACGTGATCATGCTGACGACAAACCAGATCCGCAAGGTAAGCTGCCCTGTGAACCCGCAGGCCCCACTGCCCCCTGCAGTGCTGTCCCCTGCTGCTCGATTGTCTGTCTCCATGCTGGCTGTCCTGCCATTTACCTGTGGTGAGCAGGATGTGCTGGGATCCCTTTTTCTGTTTGGTTGTTTTGGTGGTTGGCTGGGATGGAGAACCTATGACCTTGGTGTTACAAAGCTGCACTCTACCTAACTGAGCTAACTGGCCAGCCCCTTAGACCCCCTGACCCCAAAGGTCAACTGACCTCGGGTGCCCACAGCCCCCGGGAGGGTCCCACATGGCCACTGTGCTTTCTCAGCAGACACGAGGAGATGCGCACGGTCTGTTCTGGCGGGTTTGGGATGCTGGAGAGCTGCTGAGCACCCTTGTTCTCATTTTCGCGACAAGGTGCAGGTGTTCAGTCACACATAAACTTTTTTCCATTTTGAAATGGTCTTTGAAGACCGTTAAGTAATTGCTTTCCTCCATGGCCTCAGCACTTGGGGCATCTTTTGTGTCCTGCCTCATTAGAGAGCAGTCAGGGGTGTAGGAGAGCCAGAGGCCCACCTGCTAAACGGAGAGCCGACCCCTTTCCAGCCCAGACCACACGTCAGGGCCACAGCCCCACGCTCGTGGGTGGCCGGGTGCAAGGGCTGGACCCCATGAGGTGCCCTTGCCACTGCAGGGTGATGGGGTTTGGGGCTCCCAGGGCATGCCATGGGGCTGGCTGTATGGGCACTGGCTGGGGCACCTGGCACAGGATGAGGGGCAGCCAAGCCACTGGCCATGCTGTGCCTCCAGTGCTAGGAGGCCCCTCATGGCGTGGCTTGGGGAAGGTGGACACAAGCAAGGTCACGGAGCTGAGTGTTTCGCCTAGGCCGCAGGTGGCAACCAGTGTAGCTGCCATGGGGCTGCAAGCGGCACAGTCGGCCCCGTGCTGCTGGTTGGGTGCCACACAGGAGGGGCCTGGTGGGGCAGGAGGGAAGTGGGTTACCAGGACAGAAGCTGGAGGCCTAGCAGGGAAGAGGAGGCTGACAGGGCTCTGACAGGGTTACCTGGATGCCAGCCTCTGGCGAGACGTGGCCAGGGCTCAGGCCCAGCTTTGGGTCTTGTGCTGGCTGTTTTGGCACAGCCCTGTCTCCTGCCCGCCCCTCACTACAGACATAGATCTGTCCCTGCGTCACCAGGAAATGTGTTTGAGGTGTGGGTTAGGTCCCGTGTGCTGGGGACCACTGCAGCCCAAGGCACCCTTATGAATGGAGCCCACTCTGGTGCCTCAGCTCTGCTAAAAAGATGGGGTGGCCACAGCTGCCTCCCACTGCCGCTCCCACCTCTGCCTGTTCCAGCCCCACCTGTCAGCATTCCACTCTGTGCATGTGAGACCTGACAGGAGCATGTCCCCAGACATTAGCAGTCCCCGTGACATCTAAAACATAACCCCCGTGAAGGACCTTCTGGGGTGGGGGGCTGCGTGAGTCAGGCCATGTAAGGCTGGCTGCCTGGTGACTTTCTGAAACTCGACAAGCCCTTCTTTCTACAATGTCTTCTAGCAGCTTCCACAGCGTTTCTGCTGCTCTTCCTACAACTTTTTTTTTGGCGGCTGGCCGGTCTGGGGATCCAAACCCTTGACCTTGGTGTTATCGGCACCTCAGCACCACCCTGTCCCCAGTGAGCTAACCGGCTGACCCTCTGCTGCTTTTCTTCGGCCCTTTGGTAAAGGTCCCGAGGGCTGTGCTGAGGGCTCTGGTGCTGTTGTACCTCCTGGCCAGGGCTTGCATGTTTATCACCGCAGTATAGAAGGCAGCTCTTTAAATGCCTCTTAGTGTGTCTATGTGTGTACATATGGTTTGGGGAGGTTCCTTAAGAAACCCTCCCAGGAGCAAGGCTGTGACATCAGAGGAGCATGTTGCTGAGTGTGGCATTGAGCAGCATGTGCCTCGGGGTTTGGTGGGAGCTGTAGGAATCCAGAGCTGCCAGGGCATCTGCGGCAGTGGTCAGCTCCTCCTCTTGTGTCGTGGGCTGCTTTTCCTGTTCTCTAGAAAGATGAGTGACCCTCAGGCCCAAGCTTCTCTGAGCCTGTGGGAGGGACCCCGGTGTAAGCAGAGTCTCCCAGGGTTGTGTCCTGCAGGGCTTCCTGCCCACCCTGTGCTTTTGCACAGTGGGGCAAGCTCCATGCTGTCCCTAAGCCCGTGGTTGGTGGCAGCGTGGCCGTGATCACATCCCTGGGACACTGGGCTGTGCTTAGAGCCAGGGCCACTGTCACCTGGGGCTTGCGGGGTTCTGCGCATGAGCGTCTCTCTCCCGGAGGAACTGTGAAACTGGGTTCTCCCCTTGTCTTGGGGACAGACAGGCTTGTCCTAGCTCCCTTCTTGGTGATGGTGTGGAATTGGCTCTAAGCTGTCTCTCCTTGACCAAGTTAGCTCCAGAACCCCTGCAGCGGGGAGGCAGGCAGAGCTGCACCCGCGTGGCACCGCCTCCCGCTGAGCCCTCCTCCCCTCCCTTTCCAGGACCTGAGCAGCCCCAGCCAGTACGACACTGGAGTTGCACTGACTGGTCTGTCCTGTTTTGTTACCCCAGATCTTGCCAGAGACTTGGCAAATGACATCATGACACTGGTGAGTTTGCGAATGTGCCGCGACCCTTTGCTGTCGCTCCATGGATGGGGCCTGGAGAGCTGAGGTTAAAGCGTCACGCCAAGGAAACTTGGCTGCGAAACTGGGCGAGGGTCGCTGGTGCGTGGCCTGGATGAGATGGGGACCGAGTTACTGTCACCCCCTCCGTGACCTGGTGGGGCCTGTCTTGGACCACTTCTGTTCCTGTGTTTCTGAGTTCATGTTTGAAATCATCCTTCCGGGAGAAGGAAGGCGGGATGGCACTGGCAGGTCCGGCCTGGCTGAGGACGTGTGCCCCGAGGCCACCCGTTTTCTGCCTGAGGTGCAGATGGGGCGGCAGTTGTCCCAGCAGCAGCGAGCTTCTGTGTGATCCTCTCTCCTTCTCTGTGCTCGCACCCTTTGCTTTTCCCCTGACCACAGTTTGACCTCTTGTGGCTGCGAAGTCAGTCGTAAAGGCAGATACCCCAGGCTAGTCCCAATCTCAGAGGTGTCGTAGGTGAAGTTCTAAAACACAGAAGTCCTCTAGAAATTGTAGTCCTTGGACTGTGTGCCCAGGTGAATCTGCAGCCCATTAGGAGGACCTCTTTGTGCTTTCACTTAAAAAAACAGCAACACGTCAGCTGGAAAGGTGGCTGGATTCCTCCCTGGGGGATTCTGTCCTTGCGTGATTAGCCTGCTTGCCATGAAGATGTTTAGTTCTTGGCTGGTGGTCTCGAAGATTGTTGGTACCGCCTGCCCAGCATCTAGATCAAGGGTCAGCAAACTCGGGCCCCAGAGGCACATCCAGTGCTGCCTGTTGTAAACCAGACTTTATGGGCACACAGCCCCGCCCTTGCCCTAAGTGTTGTCCATGGAGGCCTCAGCGGTACAGCGCGGAGCCACATGATCATGACGGAGACGTCCAGCCCACAAAGCCAAAAACACTGGCTGCAAAGCCTTTAGACTGTGCCAGCCCCTCTAGACTGAAGCAGTTGGGAGCCTGCAGCGGGTTATGATTTGCATGCTATGGATGTCAGGCTAGTCAAGGTGGGGTGGAGTGGTTGAGGCCCCAGCAAGGGGAGTCTGGAATGCCACTTGTGTCCCGCTCTTGGACAGGCCTCGCAGCCTGCAGAGCCCAAGGCCACACGTGCTGGGTCTACAGGCTCTGTTCCAGGCAGACTAGGTTTCCCTACCTGATCTTCCCTCCAGGGCCTCCCTGTGCCCCTCCGAGGACTAAGACCACCGGAGCAGGAGGTGGTGGGCCTCAGCCTCTGGAGGGCAGGCCGGTCCATGCCACAGGGAGTAGGTTTCCATTCTGCCCAAGATGCCGCTCTCTAGGCCCTGGGGTGGGCGAGCAGTGCACAGGGTACAGGGTGCAGGCCACAGCCCGAAGGCTGGGAGCTGGAGGGGCTGGAGGGAGGGGTTCCTCCTGGTGTAGGAGATGAGATGTGGGGATGGGGGGTGGGGTGGGCTGCAGGTGGGGCCAGGAGCACAGAAGAGCTGGTGCAGGCTGGTGGCTGTTCTCTCCGCAGATGTCACACACGAAGCCTTATATCAGGAAGAAGGCCGTGCTGATCATGTACAAGGTGTTCCTGAAGTACCCCGAGTCACTGCGTCCCGCCTTTCCCCGGCTCAAAGAGAAGCTGGAGGACCCCGACCCTGGTGTGTGCACTTGAGTTTCGACTCTGGGGCGGCTCAGCCAGCACTCGGGGAAGGTGGTGGGTGTTGAGGAAGGAAGGAGGTGGGGAGGGCTGGACCGGGGCAGCCACGACTGTAGCAGACTGAACGAGGTGACCCTGACATGGAATGTGGGAGGCTATGGGTTCCTCTGTGGCCTGGAGGGACAGTAAGATCCCGTGCAGGAAACTTAACAGTAGGGACAAGAAGAGCCTTAGTTGTGAGGCCAACAGTGTCCCCGAGCTAGAGATGGGGTGGGGAACAGGCTAGACGACGTGCCTGCCTCCCCTGCCCAGGACTAGTGCTGCCAGGGAGAACTCTCTGGGTGCAGGGGATGTTCTGGACCACACCTTCCTGCACAGGAGCTACCTCCAGCCTCACGTGGCTGTGGAGCATTTGTAGTGTGGCGACTGTGAAGGCCACTGACATAAGCTGAAGTTGAACAACCACTGTGGCCCTGGCACCGCACCGGCAGCGTGGTCCGAGACCACATGTGTCTGTAGAGACCAAACCTGCCAACAAGAATCCTGAGGCTTCTGATGTCGTGGCGGGAAGGCTCAGTCACTGAGGACTCCTGCACCCGCCCACCGGACTGAGGCTGGGCCCGTGTTTGTGGCTGAAATCCCAGCCCTGTTCTCTTCCCTGACCTGGTGGAAGGACATGGGGTTGGGGCCATCTTCTGGGTCTGTGCTGAGCATGGGATGACCTCCCCTGTGCTCGCTCCTGGCAGTTATGCCATCTAGTGGTGTGGCCTTGGTACCCTGCCTTCTCAGAGCACCTGTGGGCAGGCTGCTTGTGCCCTTGCCCCAGGAGATCAGCCTGTGGACTCGTGTCCCTGTGACACAAGGAGGGGACAGAGCCAGGGCACTTCTGGGAGCTGCCGCAGCCCACAGACCCTCCTCTTTGGTCATGAGGACTGGGAGGGTGGAAGGCACATGATTATTGAAAGCACTTTGCAGGATTTCTATCATACCACAGCCCTTCCACCCAATCCAGCCCTTTCCCCGTCTCATACATGAGCTGAGTTTACACTGTTAGAGACTGACTTGGGGGGTGGTTTTTTCCCAAATTGCCTTTTTTTTTTAATTAAAGTTTTTAAAAGTTCTTTTCATTTTAAAGTAACGTCAGATTTACAAAAAGTTGAAAAATAGTACAAATAATTCCCACATGCCTTCCCCCTGGCTTTCCCAAATTTTCTGTCTTATGTAACAGAAGTGAAATCATTAAGACCAGGCAGTGGACACTGACATGGCCAAGCACTGACTTTACTCCCATTGGCCAGTCACCCAGGCACAGTTGGTGCCCTGGACGGCATCTGGGCCCTCACCCCCCGCTCTTAGCACAGACCCCCCCCCAGGTGAAAGAGCACAGCCCCCAACAGGTGCCATCCACCCTTCTGACCCACTTCACCCACTGGCTGCAGATTTGAGGATCCCCACAGCCCCCTCAGTTCAGTAATTTGTTGAAACACCTCCAAGAACTCAGAGAAGCACTTGCTCATGATGGTGGTTTTATCGTGAAGGACACAGCTCAGGAGCAGCTACATGCAGGGACCACAGGGCATGGTCTGGGGTTCTAACACAGGCTTCCATTGGTGCCTGGTAGGGCCAGGGTCATCACCCCCAGCACACCCTACGGTCACCTGCCAGGAGGCCCCAGTCTCGGGGTCCTGGTCCTTATGGGGCTTTGTACACAGGGTACAGTGATGGGATCCCTGGCTGTGAGGTTGAACCTTGGGCTGATACCATGGGCTCAAAGCTCCCCACCCTCTGATCATCCCAGGGGCAGTCTTCCTGATGACCAAGTCCCTGTCATGAACTCAGCCGTGATCCTGGGGCTCATGGATGAGAGGTGTTCCTCTCACTGGGACAGGATGAAGACCAGGCAGTTTTCATTAAACAGCACAGTTGTTCCACCCACGGCCCTTCGCTGGTCTGGGGAATTTCCCTGTCAAGCGTCTGGACCTTTTCTGACCTGAGTCCCTCGTTGTCTGTCTGTTATGCCTGGGGTATAACATATATTGTAGGATGTTCTCAGCCGGGCATTCTCCCGTGATTGGACTGAGTTCTGCATGTTGGGCAGGATCCTCCAAGCCATGGTGCTGTGTCCTGCTCGGCCCCGTGCGGGGTGGCCTGCAGCGTCCACGTTAACCTGGGCCCTAGGCTCAGCGGTACCTGCCAGGCTGCCCTGGGGGCACATTGAGCCTTTCCCTTAGTAATTGATAAGTGCCTCGTGGGGAGCTGTGTTGAGCCTCTGTAGATAGCCTGCTTTTCCCTGCCAGTTTGTGTCTGTGGATGACCCTTCCATGAAACCATGCAGCCCTGGGGTGTGGCGGACAGTGCTTTTCTGTTTCTGTCCTTCCTTGTTCATTTGTCTGTCAGGACTCTGTGCAAGAGGAATCCTCTGTTCTTCCCCATGCACACAGTTACTCCCCTGTTTGTTTACATCAGGGCAGATCCTATGGCTCACGATCCATGTGTTTTACTCACATTTTTGCTGATGGCTCTTGGACCCCTTGTGTGGGTTCCTGTGCCCGCCTGGCATCCCCCTTATTTTTCCAGCTCCTCGCTTTCTGGCCCCACACAACGCCAGATTCACATCCACCTTCTCTGCTCAGGCCCTGGGGTCTCTGTTGCTCCAAGCAGCACTGGTTCTTTTGTGGGGAATGGCGTGTAGAAGCCAAGCTCTGCACACCAGGGGTGCTCCAGGCGCTGGGGCGTCGGTGCTGCTCAGCCTGTTCAGCATGCAGAGCTGGGGATCTTGTGCGTGCCTCCACCATGACCTGCGCACACCCGCACCCGCACACGTGTATTCACACACCTGCGCCTGCACACCTGAGCCCACACACCTGTGTGCACTGCTGTGTCTGTGAGCTGTGTGTGTCAGCAGCCATGAGCTCGCTCCCACACCTGCAATTCCAGTCCAACCCCAGGACCCCTTATGATGGAGACATACCCCTTATTGGTGGGGAATCCCTCCCTTGTTGATGGGGATGCTTCCTCTTATTGATGGAGACGCCCCCCTTGTTGATGGGGACATGCCCCACTTATTGATGGGGACGTCCCTCCCTTGAGAGGATGGCCTCACTTATTAATGAGGATGCCCCCCCTTATTAATGTTGACTGCCCTCTTATTGATGGGGATGCCCCCATTATTGATGGGGACACCTCTCATTTATGGAGACACCCCTCATATTGATGGGGATGCCCCTTGTCCACAGGGGTTCAGTCAGCAGCCGTGAATGTCATCTGTGAACTGGCCAGGCGCAACCCCAAGAACTATCTGTCCCTGGCCCCGCTGTTCTTCAAGCTGATGACATCCTCAACCAACAACTGGGTCCTCATCAAGATCATCAAACTGGCAAGTACTGCTTGGGATGGGGTCCCTGCAGGCTGGCAGCCCTGGAGGGTGTGGTGTACCTGTCCACACAGTCACAACGAAGGCCACATCCAGCTGCTACCTGCTGTGAGTGATGTGGCTCCGCTTGTCCCGTAGTTTGGTGCTCTGACGCCTTTGGAGCCGAGGCTGGGCAAGAAGCTGATCGAGCCTCTCACCAACCTGATCCACAGGTAGGCACCTGGCCCCTGCTGCCGCCTGCTGGGGGTAGGGAAGGGAGTTACCTGGAGTGGGGCCTCACAGGATCCTGAATGCGGTCATCACAGAAAAAGCACGCACAGCCCTGTTGAGGTTGCTCCCGTCACCGAGCTGTGCCTTGTGGCATCCTTCGCTCTTCTGGGACCCCAGGGCTTAGGGTTTACCCTGTTAAGTGACTTTCCGAAAGAGCAACGGCGGAAGGAAACAGAAGGACAGTGGTTAGCTAGTGAGATGGGCCTGGGTGTTGTAGATAAGGCACGGCCCGCTGTTGCCTTGTGGCTTGGGTGGCCTTAACTGGGCCTGTCACTGGCCACCTACCAACTGTTCTAGGAGCTTCCAAACTACTTAGGGTGCCTACAGTGTGGGGGTTGCACTCTGGGGTTTCGTGGTGCTCATGACAGGTGCTGCAGGCAGTCCTCCTCCTGGGATCTCACACACAGGCGTCGTGGATGCGGGAGGAGCCAGGAGCCAGAGTCTGCATCCGATCTAGGCTCCTGTGCTGAGCCTGGGGCCTGGGCCAGATCTCTGCTATCTCCTGAGATGTAGTTCTTTAGGTCATAGATGGTTCAGACATTGAAAATTAGATAAACCTCTGGTCTGGGCTTGGGACATTTTTGGTTTTAAACAAACAGCAAACACTGAGTTGACAGTGTGGTTGTGGTTCTCAGAGAGGATGAAAGAGCAGCAGTGGGTTTCTGAGACCTGGAGATGAGCCAGCTCTGACAGGCCTGCTCTCCTGGAAGCCCAGCCCGTGCGCCACCTCCGGGGCTTGCCAATTGGGGGTCGACAGTGTCACCCTCTGGTTCCTGCCGCCTTGCTCAGGCCCTCTGCACGGTCTGTCCTGGTCGTCGTTTGATGCCACTGCTGCTGGCCTTGGGGCTGTGGACTCCACACCTTCTGCCCATCTGTGCACGGCCATGTCCCGCTGCCCCTTGGGCTCTCCCTGTTGGGGTAGAACCACATGGTGGTGGTGAGGGCTGCTGGACTCTTCTCCATGCTGCCGGAGACACTGAGCGAATTCGGGTTTTCTTCGTGGGTATCACAAAGTTGAGAGGTTAGGGGAAGAGGGTCCTGTGGCAGGAGCTTTTTGGGCCCGGCTGTCTTTGATTATTAGAGCGGGATGCTTTTGTCCCTTGCACAGATTCTAATGACGCTAGTGGGAGTGTGGTTGGCTGTACTGTACTGACGTGGGGGTGGAGGTGCCAGGTGCTGAGACACCGTGGGGCAGTCCAGAGACGCAGTAGGAGGCTCAGGCTTCTTCCTTTGCAGAGGAACCAGGACCATGCCCCAGCCCCAGCCCCACCCAGGGAGGGCGAGTGGCGCCATCGGGCCGTGGAGGGGCGGCTGCCATCCTCCTCCTGCTGGCTGTTCTCTGGGAGGCCACCTAGGCCAAGCCTCCAACAGAGCACTGTCCCCATGGGTCTGAGAGACTTACGGGCCTGGGTCTTCACACCACTTCCCTGTTTTTGTCTCTGCAGCACGTCTGCCATGTCCCTTCTCTACGAATGTGTGAACACCGTGATCGCAGGTGAGAGCCGGCACTTGCCCTGCTCTGGAAGGGCAGCAGTCGTTAGCAGGGAGACCTTTAGGGTTTCAGAGGGGGGGATAAGAGGGTGCCAGGCCTGGTGTCCCCGAGCGCCACCCTGCAGGGCAGAGGGGAAGGCTGGGTGTTGGGGCCTGCACAGCTGTGGGCCTCTGCCACTCCCACGAAACTGCACTTTGCTGAGCCATTAAACACGTCTGAGCTGCCATGTCAGCTCGCCCGCAGATGCGCAGGTGTCAGCATCCACAGCAAGAGGTTTCATGAGGCCAAAACCCATGTGCCTCACACCCAGCGGCATCCGCAGGGCCTGCTGTCCACTCCAGCTGATCTCAGAGGGTCTCTTCAAGACAGCTTGTTCAGTTCGGGGTCCAGCAAGGGCCATGCAGTGCGTTTGCTGCTGTGTTTCCTTACTGTTGATGATAAATGAGAGGGCCCCTCGCCCCTCGGTTGCACCGTCTATTAGAGAAATGGAATCGTTGCTCCTGGACGGGGCTGGCCATCTTCTGGCCCCACATGTTTCTTGTGGACTGCCTGTTAGAGCCGGGCTGGATGAGGTTCCGCTTCTGACCCTGCCTGTCCCTGCCCAGAGCTGCTAGGAAGCCCCAGGCTGGGGGCGGGTGGGGTGATTGCACGAGCATGTGGGACGTAGACCTCACACCTGGAGTGGCCCACGTTCTACAGAACTTTCCCTGGACAGGGATGCCTGTTGCTCTTGGGGCTGGGATCGCCCTCTCAGCCTGGGGGGTTGAATTTGGCCTTCCTGACCCTGGGACCTGGCTGAGGGTGGCGGGAGGAGGACAGCCAGGCCTGGAGTTACAGACAGCAAGTTGGGGTCCCAGGACCACTCTAGGCACAGTGATCCACTGGGGGGGCTCCTGGGACTCAGCGTGGTCGTCCTTTTGGCTGTGGCTTATTACAGCAAAAGGACCCGGAGCAGAGTTGGCTCAGGGAGAAGGCGTGTGGGGTGGATTGGGTTGGGGGAGCGCAGACATGGCTTCCAGAATTGTCCCCCAGGGGAGTTGCACTGGACACGCTCCATCCCCAGTAATGGGCCGTGATGACGTGTGTGAGGTGTCATCCCAGGGAAGCGTACGGAGTCCCAGTACCCTGGGGGTCTTCTGGGAGGGGTCATGCAGTCCTCCCTGCCTGGCAGGTGCAAGATTTCAGACTCCAGAGGGAAGGCGGGTTGATCTTAAACCATACTGCATGGGCAGTGTAGGCCCAGGAGCCGGTCCTGCCAGTGAGGGTGGGGCCACGAGGTCCAGGTTCCTCATGCCAGCTGGGGTCAGCTGCGTGGCCATCTTTCTGAAGAGGCAGCCTTGGGCCTGCGGGGCCACTGTTCTGCTCAGATGCCATTTGGGCCGAGCACAGTGGCACTGTCATCTTGTGTCCCTCCCACTGGGCAAGGGACAGGTGCTCATGGACATGAGTGGCCATCGGGGGATGGTGCTGGGTGGGTATGACACAGGCGTGGCGGGACTCAGAGGCTGTCTGTTGCAGTGCTCATCTCCCTGTCCTCCGGCATGCCCAACCACAGTGCCAGCATCCAGGTACGTGCATGTCAGCCAGCCCCACCCCCAGGCTCGGGACATGGAGGTGGGGGGTGTGTGGCCTGCAGAGTCACTGAGCCCTCAGGACCAGCTGTGCTTCCCTCCCTGTGCTCGTGGGCTGTCCCTGCCCAGGAATGTGCCCTGTCTGTGAGCTTTGTGCCTGGCCCCACTGGGTGTCTGCACCGCATGGGTGGCGCTGAGGCAGCGAGGGGTAACGGCTGCTCCCCTGCAGCCACCCTGGTGTGTCTCTGGATTCTTTTTGTAGACAGTAGGGTTTGTAGACAGCTGTTCTCTGTTCCTCGGGTTAACCACCCCTCTAGTTGCCACCCTGTTTTCTGTGACCTTTGTAAACTGTGCAGACACCCTGTAGCTCAGGCCCCAGGGGCTCCTAACTGGCCTCGCCTAGAGACCACGGGATGGTCACCTCCTTTGTTTTTCCAGTTTTTGGTTCAATGATATTTTAATTACAAAAGAAATGTGCAAAGTGAGTCCCCAAATCCCATTCCCTCCCCAGGGGGCACCCCGTGCGGTTGGACGTCTGCCTGCCCCGTGTATGTTCCCACACACAGAGTGTCTGGTGCAGGTCCACGCTGTTGGGCTCTGCTGCCCTCATGCCAGGTTGTGCCCCCGCGAAGTGGGGTTCTGCCGTGTCCACAGGCAGTCCAACCCCCAGTGCGCTGCTTGGGCCCTGCTAGCTCCTCTCTCTTGCTTCTGGCCTGCGGGACGTGTCTGATCCCTGGGCCCAAGAGCAGGTGGGGGTGGCCGTGGAGGGGACATAGGACAGGCCCAGGGTCAGCTGATGTCACCCTTGGCTTTAAAAGTGACCAGCATTGTGTTTGCTGTTTACAGCTTTGTGTTCAGAAACTAAGGATATTAATAGAAGACTCTGATCAAAACTGTAAGTCGCTCCCCTCCCTGCAGGCTCTCTTGTCCCCGTGTCTTAAGCCTTTGTGCAGTTAGGGCTGTCTCCAGCTTCAGAGAAAGGTGGCCACAGCATGACCAGCACTGGGCCTCTTCCTCCCTGGACATGGTGTTGGCAGGCTGACGGCTTGGCTCGGAACAAGCCTCTGCGCACACCCTTTGGCTCTCTCATGCCCATTGCCCTCATCCACGCGTGGAGGGCAGCCTTCTGGTCCAGGCCAGGAGCTCCCCAGGAGGATCCTGTGCACATGCACACGGGGAGGTGGGGCCTAGCTGAGGATGCATGAACGGGTGGGCATGGCTGTGGGCTAGAGAAGCCTCTTTTGCTGGGGCCGTTGCTTGTGGCCCCTGGTTTGGAGGATCATGTGTTCACCTTGGACTCTCTGTCCTCTGCAAGCTGGGTTTGGTGCAGTTAGGGTGGGGAGGTGGGTCAGTGAGCACCAGGACCTGTGAGGCCCACACAGGCCTGCGGGCAGCTGATGGGCTGCCACACTCTAGTGGTAGCTACTGAGATGTGGTGAGTGGTAAGGGGAGGGCTTCTGGAGGGATCGCTGCCATTGGGGTCTGGGTTCTCCCCCTTCCCTGCCGGGACACCTGCCTCTCCCACTGCACCTTCCCGAGGGTGCCTCGTGTGAACTGTGTCATCCAGGGCACCTGTGGGGATGGCCGGAGGAGGGCAGGGTCCATGGCCTCCACTCCCTGCTGCCAGGGTGGGGCCATACTAAAGCAATGGCCAGCCCACAGCGTGCCAGCCAGAGGGACACATTCTGCGTGCTCCCAGCTTGTCAGGGCTGAGCAGTGGCCTGAGGTGGAGACGGGCCTGTGTGCCTTTGTGCCGTGCCCACTGCCCTGCTCTGGGTCCCCGGCCAGTCACCTCTAGCCGTCTCTCCACAGTGAAGTATCTGGGGCTCTTGGCCATGTCCAAGATCCTGAAGACCCACCCCAAGTCCGTGCAGTCACACAAGGACCTCGTCCTGCAGTGCCTAGATGACAGGGACGAGTCCATCCGCTTGCGGGCCCTCGACCTGCTCTACGGGATGGTGTGTCTGCTCTCCTCCTGGCCTCTCGTTCTGTAAGGGGGGTGTTAACTGGAGGGGCCTCATGAGTCCCCTCACATTCACGGTCAGACAGCTACCCTGGCAAGTTAAACAGAGCCTCTGTCTTAGAGGGGCGGGGAGGGGCTGCGGGCTCCAGGGCAGAGCCCACTGAACAGGCTGAGCCTGGCCACCTGCAACACACCTGACCTCAGGCACCCCTGGGACATGCGGCTTCCCTGCATAGATCTGTGTGTTTGGGCCCGCCCATGTCCTGTGAATTCTGTCTTAAGAAACAGGGATTCGGTGCTTCCCAAGGTAGGCTGGTGGGTTGGTTCTGGCAGCCGTGAGTGATTGAGCGCCTGGCCCAGGTGTCCAAGAAGAACCTGATGGAGATCGTCAAGAAGCTGATGACACACGTTGATAAGGCTGAAGGCACCACCTACCGCGACGAGCTGCTCACTAAGATCATTGACATCTGCAGCCAGGCCAACTACCAGCACATCACCAACTTCGAGTGGTACATCAGCATCCTGGTGGAGCTGACGCGGCTGGAGGGCACCCGCCATGGCCACCTCATCGCTGCCCAGATGCTGGATGTGGCCATCCGCGTGAAGGCCATCCGCAGGTTTGCTGTGTCCCAGATGTCTGCGTTGCTTGACAGCGCCCACCTGGTGGCCAGCAGCACCCAGCGAAACGGCATCTGTGAGGTGCTCTATGCTGCCGCCTGGATCTGCGGGGAGTTCTCGGAGTGAGTGGGCGTGGGGCCCCCATCCCTCCCTGGCTTGTCCCTCAAGTGGGGATCTTGGCACTTTGCACCTGCCCATCCGCTGCCAGGTCCTTCTGGGAACACAGTGGTCTCACACCAGGTTCCAGCAGCCATGGGTGGGTGGCCCAAGAGGTCCTGACACCTCTATCTAACACTGTCCTTAGATTCTCTCTGGGTTCCCTGGTCCCAGGGACACACTGGCTCCCAGAGACAGATGATGGCCCTTGTGCAGGCAGTCTCAGATCTCCAGCCCCACCTAGGATTCAATTTGTCACTAAGAATCTCAGGAGCTGTCACACAAAAACCTAGATTTCAGATTTCTCTTGGGAAGTTATAGGCTTTGCTGCTAGTCTCTCTGCTTCCCCCGCTCCTGGGCCTGGTCCAGTAGGCACTGTGAGGCAGTCGCCCTGTCTGCCAACCACTGTCCCCATCCCTCCTGAGGACGCCTGATCTCCCGGAATCCCAAAGGGGAATCCCAGCAGGCCTGCATCCTGGAGATGCATGGTTCTGTCATTTTCTTGTTGATTACAAGAAATGTGATCAAGTGTCAGTGAGCCGCTCTGTACAGGGTGCTTCATGCTCAGATGGGCCGTCCTCTCCTCACGTCTCCCTTGTGTCCTTACCTGTTAAGGTCGTGAGCTTTCCAGAGCAGCCCGCAATGTCTCCAGGGTTTTCCTCCTTTTTTTTTTTTTTTTTTTTTCCCTCATTCGGCTGCTCTATGAGTTTCTTGTCTTTGCGTTTCCATGTTATAGGCCATTTACAGTTCCTGGTTCCCTTATATTCCATCTCTCAGCCCTTGGTGCCTGCTCAGGACGTGGGAGAGCCCCAGAGTCACCCCTCCTATGAATAGCCTGGCCCCCTTTTCTCAGCTTCTCACCTGCTGGGAGCTGGGGTAAGTATCTTCTGGGGCTGGCATCCATAGGCTTCACCTGCCGCTTGTCCCCCAGGCATCTACAGGAACCTCAGCACACCCTTGAGGCCATGCTGCGGCCCAAAGTCACCACGCTGCCTGGCCACATCCAGGCTGTGTACGTGCAGAACGTGGTCAAGCTGTACGCGTCCATCCTGCAGCAGAAGGAGCAGGCTACGGAGACCGAGGCAGCCCAAGAGGTCACCCAGCTCATGGTCGACCGGCTGCCCCAGTTTGTGCAGAGCGCGGACCTGGAGGTGCAAGAACGGGTAAGGCCAGGCGTGTGGTGCACACGGCCCGTACTGTGGCCCCAGCTCCATGGGGTTGAGCCTCTGAAGGAGCTCTCAGCTACCTTGCAGTTTTCTGTTTCCCAGCAGTGGAACTGGTGAGATCCCCTTGTCATGGCTTCATGCCAGCTGGGGCTTGGGGATCAGTCAATAGGACTTGGGTGGCCCAGGGATTACAGCAGATGGCTGTAGCTCTTCCTGATGCCCTGCGGTGACATGGGTTCTCAGAGAGCCAGACCACACGCTAGTGCTAGGCAGTGCCTGCTGGATCCTGGACCTCTGCAAGGGACGTTGGGTATGTGATGTTGGCCCCAGTGGAGACCAATGACCGAGGAGACCAGTGAGCTCCAGAGGTTTGCGTGAGGCCCGACCTGGGCCCTGCTGCACGTGGGCATTAGTCCGGCTGTGCAGAGCCGAGCAGTGGGCAGCAACCCCTGTGGACATCGTGCCACTTGTCTCAGGGCACAGAACCCCTTGTGGAGTGTTCTCACATGTGGAGCATAGTCCCCTCTGTGGCCCCCATTGTGCGTGACTTGTCTCTTTCCACTGCCTCCTGGTGAAGAAGATGGCTATGGAGGCTGGGTCTCTCCACTGCAAGGGGCCTTTTGTTGAGCCTATTGGCTCTGACAGGGAGTAGCCATGAGCCACTGTCCCCTGGGGCCAGGCTGTCCGCATACCCCTGGCGGTGGCCGAGTGGCCTGCAGGGCACGTGCATCTGACTCCCCACCCTCTCCTCCAGGCGTCTTGCATCCTGCAGCTGGTCAAGCACATCCAGAAGCTGCAGGCCAAAGATGTGCCTGTTGCAGAGGAAGTGAGCGCCCTCTTCGCAGGGGAGCTAAACCCAGTGGCTCCCAAGGCACAGAAAAAGGTTCCAGTCCCTGTAGGGTAAGGATCAAGGAGTGGGGACAGGGCAAGGCATTGTGGCCCCACCAACTGATGTGGTCCCCTGGTGTCAGGAGGGGAGAGCAGCAGCCCCAGGCTGGGTGGGCCGCTCATGTGGACAGACCCCAGCACCGGCTGGTTCTGTGGGGCCGCACTTGTGCCCAGCGCTTCTCCCTGGGGTCTGCTCCCACCCTTGAGCCTCGAGGCTCTGCCTGGTCAGCCACAGCCTCCCCATCTGTGTCTTGTCTCTATGGGGACAGTGATGCCCCAGCTCATGGGTCCTGTGTGGGTGACAGCATTTGGTGACCCCACTTGGGTAGACCCCTGCTGTCATCGTGGTGCAGTGCTTGGCTGGCAGGGTGGCTAGTGCTGCAGTGTGACCGTCCGTCTGGTGCAGCCTGGACCTGGATGCCTGGATCAATGAGCCGCCCTCGGACAGCGAGTCAGAGGATGAGAAGCCCACGGCTATGTTCCATGCTGAGGAGCAGAGGCAGGCCCGGCCCCGGCCGCCTGAGGCCGACGAAGAGGAGCTGGCCCGGGTGAGTACCACTCCTCTGCGTCCTAGGGCATCCCCAAGTCAGGCACCCCGCCTTAGGCACTGGCTTCTTTCACCTGAGCCTGCAGGATCAGGGGTTTGTGTCCTGCTGTCTGCCCAGGAGCGCCGAGCAGATACCTGATGTTAGGGTTGAATTTCATGGAAACATGGAGTGGCTTCTCCAGTCCCATAGCCTCCCCCAAGAAAACCCCCTTAGCCTGATCTGCACGGGGGCCCTGTCTCCGGAGCTGGAAAACTGCCCCATCCCTAGTTCCCTGTGTTGGGCTTCTCTTTTCTGAAGTTAGTGACCTCTCCCTGCATCCTGCTCTCCAGAAGGGGAGAGGAGCAGATCCTCTCTCGAGCCCCTCCTGTCCTGGACCCCGCAGTGGCAGGTGCATGGCGGGGGGGGATCTGCGTGCTGAGCTTTGTGCTGCTCTGCCCTCAGGAGCTGGGCACCCTTAGGCAGGTCACCCAACCTCTCTGATCCCTGATCCCTGAAGTGGAGGTCGAGGCTGTCTCCACTTCTTGGACTAGTTAGTAATAGTTCCTTTTCCCCAACACATGCTCTTTCCAACTTTGAGCCTCAGTTTCCCTGGAAGTAAAAGGCTGACAGTAAAAATCAGAGATTCAGCTTCCTCACCCAGGGTGTTCAGGGAGCCGTTGGAGGTGGCTTGTTCCCCTAGGCATTCCTGTCTGGTGTCCTACGTGCTCACGTCCAGCCCTGTCCCCCACAGCGTCGAGAGGCGCGGAAGCAGGAGCAGGCCAACAACCCGTTCTACATCAAGAGCTCTCCATCCCCGCAGAAGGTGAGGCCTGTCCCTGCACACCCAGAGGGGACAGTGATCATCTGCCTCCCCTGTCCCCAGGCACCCCTTCCAGACAGGTGCCCAGGGGCGAGTGCCCTCAACCACCAGCAGTGCTTGGGCACATCCGTGGGGTGGGTACTCATGGCTGAGGCAGTAGCTGCCGCACAGCAGCACAGGGGTCCAGATGCTGCAGCGAGGAGGAGCTGGAAGGAGATGCTCATCCTGGTTACACAGTGCACGTGTCCACGCTCAGCTGACCGGGGGGGAGGGGGGCAGTGCCTCTTGAAAGGGAAGGGGTGCACATGGGGTTGGGCCTGGGGACAGCACATTCTAGATCTCGGGGTGGTGCCCAGTGCCATTGGTGTGCCCTGCTCCGGCTGCCCATCAAGAGCCCCCCGGTCACACACAGGCAGTGCCTGCTCAGCACTCATGCTCTCCCTGCCCTGGGGCCTTGGTGCTTCCGTGCTTGTGGGTGGATCTAGAAGCAGAAATGGGGTCACATGGGGTCTTCTTCCAGCACAAGGGCCCCAATGTCTCCACCCTCTGGCAGCACTGTCTGGCTTTGACTCCCACTGTGCTGGTGGGCGTAAGCTGATGTTACTTTTCAGTTTGGAGAGAAAATAAGGAATCAGATAAAACTGATAAAAATGTGCTTTGCCCTCTGTGACAGACTCATCATGTTTTGCTCAAATGACATAATTTCCCATGGTCTTTAAGACATGTACCAGAGATGAGTTTCACTCATGCATGCCCCACAGTCCCGGGGTCTCTGGTGAGGCCCCTTGCTGCTGCGGATGCCCTTGTCACACTGGGCAGGGCACCTGCATCCCCAGGCTCATCGTTCATGAGACAGTAGCCTGGCCTCACGAGCCAGTAACGCCTTGACGTTGCCTTCTCAGCGGTACCAGGACACGCCGGGCGTGGAGCACATACCCGTAGTGCAGATCGACCTCTCGGTGCCTCTGAAAGTCCCAGGCAAGTGCTGCTGGCGTGCAAGTGGCCAAGCCCCCCTGCATGGCCACGTGAGCCGTGGCCCTGGGGCTGAGTGCCTGCCTGCCCACCCGCAGGGATGCCCATGTCTGAGCAGTACGTGAAGCTGGAGGAGGAACGCAGGCACCGGCAGAGGCTGGAGAAGGACCAGAGGCGAAAGAAGAAGAAGGAGAAGGCGAGGCGGGGCCGGCACCACCGCCACAGCTCGCTGCCCACGGAGAGCGACGAAGACATCGCCCCCGCCCAGCGGGTGGACATCGTCACTGAGGAGATGCCTGAGGTCTGCCCCCCACCCGGTTGTGGCCTCCTTGGAGCTGGGGTGTCGCTTCTTTGGTCCTCAGTGGGAGGGGTCTGGCCCTGGATGAAACGGTTTTTTGTGGGTCCCCTTCTGCGGGGGATGGGGCACGTACATTTGAGTCTCTTCTGGTCACTGTTTTCCTGGTGGCTGACCCCACCCCTGGTCTGGAGAGAGCGAGAGGCAGGAGGCTTGTCTGCCTGGCGTGGAGGTGGCTCCACCTGCCACGGACTCGCCCTGCAAGGCCAGCCGCCCCTCTCGCCTCAAGGGGGACACATGTCCACTTGTCACTGTGACCCTGCGTGTGTGGATGCTGAATAATGTTCTTTGTGCCTCAGGCCCCTGTGGGTGTGGTTGTTTCTGACAGTTGCACTGTTTCCATCAAGACATTCTAGATGGGGAGGGGCTCTGCCAGGCCCCTGGGGGTTCTGCAGTTGCTGGTTGAACTGGGCACTGAGTTCCTCTCCACCCCCTTAGAATGCCCTGCCCAGTGACGAGGATGACAAAGATCCCAACGACCCCTACAGGGCCCTGGACATTGACCTGGATAAGTAAGTTTAGAGCCGGGTGGATGTTTAGGGGACACGTGGGTGGGCCATGCTACCCTGTGGCCACCACAGACAGGTAGGCCTCCCTGCGGGGGCTTTCCCTAAGCAGCGTTCCTCCTGAGACCCTCAGGCAGGCTCTGAGGGCTCCAGCCCCAGGGCGCAGGGGAGGGGGAGGGAGTGGCATTAGAGACGTTTGGAGGAGCAGGTCCCACGCGCCGTGACCTGGGCGGGAAGACGCAGGGTGCTGCGCAGGCCTGGGTGGCAAGGCCAGCTGCTGGCCTGGTGACCCCACTCTCCTCCTGTCCCCTCCTGAGGCCCTTAGCTGACAGCGAGAAGCTTCCCGTCCAGAAACACAGAAATGCCGAGACCTCCAAATCCCCCGAGAAAGAGGACGTTCCTGTGGTAGAGAAAAAGAGGAAGAAACCTAAGAAGGAGAAGAAACACAAGGAGAAAGCGAAAGAGAAAGGGAAGAAGGCAGAGAAGAAGGAGGTATCCCGGGGCTCGGGTTCTGGCCTTTCCCTCCCTTACCCCAATGTCGTGGGAGCCTGAGTCGGGCACAGTGGAGAAGGGGGTGCAGGCCGAGGGCTGCAGGACGGGGCGGAGCGGAGTGGGGGACTGGGTGGAGACGAAGCCATCCCTGCGCCCAAGTTAGGGGAAGGAAGATGCGTGGAGCAGAGGGACAGTCCACGGGGCCCTGCTGCTTGCTGCTTAGCAGCAAGGCTTTCCAGCCAGCCTGTGCGTTCCTTGTCGGTCCTGCACGGCCGCTGTGTTCGCCGTTGCTCGCTTTTTGACCACTGGGAGCAGCACAGGTCTGCATGCGGGTCCGCGATTGTTCTTCAAGCAGCAGCAGCCAGAGCTGGTAGCCTGTGGCACATAGCACTGTCACCAGCGCCTGGGCTCAGAGGTTCTGCAGAGCTAAGTTGGTCCTGTGTCCTGGGACCATGAGGGTGGGTGGGCCACCTGGGGTGGCCAGCAGGAGGGTCCTGGCAGCCCAGCCATTGTGAGACCAGACACCATTGGCCTTGCTGTCCCTGTGACCCTCTTCCTGGGGTCCTGGCCCACTGTCTTTTCCAAAAGCCTGTTTTCTTGTGGTTTCAGGGTGAGGACTTAGATTTCTGGCTGTCTACCACCCCACCACCTGCCGCTGCCCCTGTCCCAGTCCCATCCTCGGTAAGAGCCTGGCAGGCAGCTTGTGTGCTGGTCCCAGTGTATCCTGAAAGGTCATGCTCAGACCTCTTGAACTTCCTGGTTAGCATCTCTCCATCCTTCGGGACGAAGCGCTTGTCCAGGGCCGGAGCTACCCTCCCGTATCCTGATGAGACACGTGGGATGGGGTGGGGGCAGCCAGGCCTCTGTCACCTAGAGGGTGTCGTCATCTTCTCAGTGGAGCAAGGGACAAGCCTGGCTAGGGGAGCTGCCCTGAGCCCCTCTGTCCCTTCCTAGGGCTGGGGAGAGCTGTGGGCTGAGCCTGGCTGCAGGAGCTGTTCAGAGTGGCATGGAGGAGGGGCCCTCGCTGCTGAGCTGTGAACCCCCCGCAGGCAGCCCTGGGCCCCCTCCAGCCCTGACCATCCTGCCTTGTTGCAGGATGAGCTGGGTGTGGAAACCACTGTCGTCCCTAAAGACGAGTGTGAGGAACCCAGAGGAGAGGAGCCAAAGGATGAGGAGGGAGAGGCTGGTGATCGAGGCCCGGACAAGGTGCGTCCCCATGGCAGGAGGGGTCCTCTACCTGCTGCCACAGAGCAGCACCATCCATGTTGTGATGGGACAGGGCTCCTGTGGCCCGAATCCCCCTGGGCAGGGCAGCCCAGATCGTGCTTTCTGTCAGATTTTGTCACTGTCGTTACAGTTTTCTTTTTTAGTAAGAGCTTTATTGAGGTAAGATTCTCAAGTTGTGAAGGTCAGTCGGCTCAAGTGTGTCATTCAGGGTGTTGGCTGCTTTTGCGGCATTATGCTGCCATCCCACCTGGCTTGTGTCCCTGCGACCTTGATGCAGTTGGCCCCAAGGGCAGAAAACGCAGGGCACTGCCTCCTGGGGGCCGCAGCAGTGCCCTGTCGTGGGCCCCTTGCTGGGGAGGTTCGGAAATTGACTGCAGGCCCTCCTGCTGTGGCAGAATCCCTCCAAACAGAAGAAGAAAAAGCACAAGAAGAAGGAGGAGCGGCCCAGAGACAGGAAGAAGCCCAAGAAGCAGCAGCAGCCCGAGAGCGCGGTGGGCCCCGTGCAGAACGGCGCGCTGGAGGAGGAGCCCCTCCCGGTGAGGCTGGGGAGCCAGCAGACCCGGGGTCCCCACCCCTGCCTGCGGGCGGCACAGTCCCCCACGCGCCCTCACTCCCGGGCTGCGCACTGTGCTCTCGGAGCTTCCCAGCTCCTCGGTGTTGGGAATCGTGGCTTCAGATGCAGAGCCTTGGGTGGCGCCATGGGCCTTGTCCCCCACAGCTGACACATCTTCTCTCTCCTCAGCCCATGTCCAGCTACTCCCTCCTCGCTGAAAATTCTTACATTAAAATGGTGAGTGTGTGGGCAGGACCAAGGGGGCAAGAGGCAGGACAGGTTCATTTCCTGCTGACATAGAGGATTGTGTGGAAACCTCGAGAGGCCCCAGGTGTCACATGGCTCAGGGCCTGTGTTGCTGGAAGACATTCCTGAGGCAGCAGCCCAGGCCTAGCCACACTTTGGCTGGTGTGACTGTGGAGGCCTACTCGCTGTGGGCCAGGTGGCCGATGTGCAGGTTGCCATAGCATGTCCACAGAGAAAAGCAGGCAGTGGCTGGCCATGAACAGCCTTTAGTGTGGCTCTCAGGCAAGGGTTGGGGGCGTGGCACACTCGGTCCTCTCTGCACTCAGCGGACACCGTTGCTTTTGCAGTCACCAACCACAGTGAAAGGTGTTGGTCCTCATTCCAGCCATGAACTCATGCCCCCTTGGGTCCAGTTGCTGGCGCTTCTGCTGTGCCCCCGGTTGACCCTGGGCCTTACTTTGTGCAGACGTATGACATCCAGGGCAGCTTGCAGAAGGACAGCCAGGTCACCGTGTCCATCATCCTGGAGAACCAGAGCAGCAGCTTTCTGAAGAGCATGGAACTCACCGTGCTCGACTCGCTCAACGCCAGGATGGCCCGGCCAGAGGGCTCCTCGGTGCACGACGGCGTCCCCGTGCCTTTCCAGCTGCCTCCAGGTGAGTCCCTCTTGCTGTCCCTGTTCCAGCCTGTCCCACTCAACGGAGGCTGGCAGTTCCCAGGTCATCCAGATTTCATTTGGCTGAGTGGACCGTGGCTCTCTGAAGAACATGTGGACTTGGGCAGGGCCTGGGCCTTCCTGAGTCTCGCAGCCCCAGCGATCTGTGAGATGGTGGTGGGATCAGGCCCAGGCCTGGCGGGGACACCAGGGGCCTCCCCTGCTGGCTCGACTGCCATTTATCGCCTTGCCCACCCTTGCTAGGTGTCTCCAATGAGGCCCAGTTTGTGTTCACTGTCCAGAGCATCGTCATGGCCCAGAAGCTCAAGGGGACCCTGTCCTTCATTGCAAAGGTAGGCACCGCAGGGAGCCAGCACTGCAGGCCAGGAGTGCTTCCTCTCGCCCCCGTGGGGCATCGGGGTGTCCTGAGCTGGGCCACCTCCCCGCCCAGCTGCTGCCTTCACTCCTCTGCAGAATGACGAAGGGGCCACCCATGAGAAACTGGACTTCCGGCTGCACTTCAGCTGCACTTCGTACCTGATCACCACACCATGCTACAGGTGCGCCGCTGTCCTGTGGTTGGGGGTTTTCTGGGCAGTCACCTAAGAGCACCTCTGGTCCTAATACATGAAAGGGTGGAGGTGGGGTCAGGCCACCAGCTTGTGCGGCTGCCTCATATCTGAGTCTGCCTGGCCCCCTGATGGACACCACAGCCTGGGCAGCTTCTGCAATAGACTTTTACTGCCCCTGGTTCTGGAACTTGGATGGCCAAGACCTAGGTGCTGGCAGAGCTGGCTCCTCCTGAGGCCTCCCTCCTTGGTGTGTAGATGTCATCTTCTCCCCGTGTTCTTGTGTGGGCATTCCTCTGTGTCTGTGTCCTAATCTCCTCATGTGGACACCAGTCATATTGGATTAGGGTCACTCTAATGAGCTCATTTTATTTTAACAACCTCTTTAGAGGCTATTTTTTCCAAATACAGTTACATTCTAAGGCCCTGGGGGTAAGACTTCAGCATATGGATTTTCAAATTTTTGCTGGGAGGGAGCACAATTCAGCCTGTAACATCTCACAAGACCCTCAGAGACCTCCCGGGCCCCAGGCACACAGAGGAAGGGTGGGCTTTTGTCTGCGTCAATGCCAGGGAACCACAAGGGTCCCGGCCCCTGCCTGCATCACCTCCCTGTCCTCTGTCCTCTCCACAGCGATGCCTTTGCCAAGCTGCTGGAGTCTGGGGACCTGAGCATGGGCTCAATCAAAGTCGATGGCATTACCATGTCCTTCCAGAACCTTCTGGCAAAGATCTGTTTCCATCACCATTTTTCTGGTAAGGGGTGTGGTGCACCTGCTCTGTTTCACGGTATTCATGTGCACATTACGCACATGTGCCTCGGCCCTGGCAAAGCAGCCCTTCCCCTGCTGGAGTTTGGCCTGCAGCCCTTGCACCTGAGGCTCACACGCTGGCGTCCCCATGCCATCGGGCCTGGGACCCTGACCCCTGGGACCTAATAGGGCCTCTTCCTGCTCCTGAGGGGTCTCTTGGAGCCATCGCTGAGGGCAGACTGCCGTGTGCTGTCGCAGTGTCCCTGAGAAGTGGGGCCTCACCCTCCTGTTCCGTTGCAGTTGTGGAGAGAGTGGATTCCTGTGCCTCCATGTACAGCCGCTCCATCCAGGGACACCACGTCTGCCTGCTGGTGAAGAAGGTGAGCCCACCCCAGGTCCACTGTGTGGCCTGATGCCTGAGCTGAGCTCCAGGGCTGTGAGGGCTCAGGGAAGGGGACGGGGCCACCCCATACCTAGCAGTCCAGATCTGCCCTCTCAAAACAGGGCTTTCTCTTCCTGCTCTGCTTGTCCTCAGACTGAAAGGGAGCAGCATGGGTGTGGGTTGGGGACGTCAGTGGGAAGGCTTCCAGGGCGCTAGGCCACCCCCATGTACTTACATGCAGCCGCGGAGGCCCCAGGTATGTGACCTCTTACCTCCCGCTGCTCTGTGTCCAGAGTGACCTCTTGCCCTCCTCCCTGGCCTCTCTCACCCAGGTTTTGTGGGGTCCTCTTTTCTTTGAATATATTTCATAGTTCAGTTGGTGGCTGTCTTGTGAAGAGTGCTCATGGGGAATATTTAGTTTTCTTTTTCTGTATTGGCTGTCTGGTTTTGTCATCCAGGTAGAGTGGCCTCCTAAAATGACTTGGGAGATGTTTACTCTTCGGTTTTCTTCTGGGAGAGATTGTGTGTGATTAATGTTATGTCTTCCTTAGACATAAAACGTGTTTGTTAGAATTCATCAGGGGAACCGTTTGGGACTAGAGATTTCTTTTGCTGAAGGTTTTTAATCTACAAATTCACTTTCTTTAATGGTTATCTATTTCATCCTGGGTGAGTTTTGGTAGTTTGTGCTTTTCAAAGAACTAGTCTGAGTTATTCTCTGAGTTACTGAATTTATAGGTGTAGAATTGTTTATAGGATCCCCTTATCCTTTTAATGTCCATGGGATTGTGTTCAGTCATCATGTTGGCAGTTCGCATATTTTCTTTTTTTTTTCTTAGTTATCCTGGCTAGAGGTTTATCAGTTTTATTGCTCTTTTCAAAGAACCAATTTTTTTGTTTTATTTTCTTTATCATCTTTCTGTTTTCAGTTTCAGAAAGTTTTTCATCTTTCTCTTTATGTTCTGCTCTTACCTGTTTTCCTTCTTTCTGCTTGCTTTGGGTTTATTTTGCTCTTCTGTGAGTGTCTTAAGGTGGAAGCATAGACCTTTCCAAGACAACTTTGTTTTCTTTTTTTTTTTTTTGTCTTTTTTTTGTGACCGGCAAGGGGTTCGCAACCCTTGGTGTAGTGTCGCCTGCACCACGCTCAGCCAGTGAGCGCACCTTCCAGTCCTATATAGGATCCGAACCCGTGGCGGGAGCGTCACCGTGCTCCCAGCGCTGTACTCTCTCGAGTGCGCCACGGGGCCGGCCCCAACTTTGTTTTCTAATAAAAGCATTTAAGGGGCCGGCCCGGTGGCGCACTGCTACAGTGCGCTGCTTGGGAGCGTGGCGGCGCTCCCGCCGAGGGGTCGGATCCCACATACAGACCGGTTCCCGCTCACTGGCTGAGCGAGGTGCGGGTGCAGCACCGAGGGTTGCGATCCCGTTACCGGTCCTGGTCCGGTACGGGCGCGACACTGAGGGTTGCGATCCGTTGCTGGACACGAAAAAAGACAAAAAGGGGAAAAAAAAAAAAAGCATTTAATACTATAAATTTCCCTCTGAGCCCTGCTTTAGCTGCATCCCACAAATTGTGGTATGTTCTATTTTTTTATTTATTTATTATTGATTTCTAGTTTGGTTCTACTGTAGTCAGAGAACATCCTACTTAGAATTTTACTTCTTTTACACTTGTCGAGGTCTGTGTTCCAATGCAGGATATTGTTCATGTTGTTAAATGCCCCACCAGTCGGCTTTTGTTAAGCGGGATGTTGAATGACTATCACTTAGATCCAGTTGGTTGGTGGCCTTGTTCCATTCTTCAGGATCCTTGCTGATGTCCTATCAAATGATACTTTTGAGTGTTGAGGTCACCAGTTTTCACTTTGTTTATTTTTCCTTTCATTTCTGTCATGTTGTGCCTCAGGGGTTTTGAAGCCCTGTTGTTGGGTGTGTAGACAGCTAGAATTCTGATATCCTCTTGGTACACTGACTCTTGTCAATATGCAGTGTTCCTCTTCATCCCTGGTAATTTCCTTTGCTCTGAAGTCTGCTTTGTCTGCTGCCAATATAGCTACTCCAACTTTCTTCAATTGATGTTTCTATGGTATATCCTTCACTGGTAGCCTTCATTGTTATATTTAAGCTATTTTATTTATTTATTTATTTGGCAGCTGAGCATGACCTTACCAGCACCACACTCTCCCAAGTGAGCTAATGCACCAGCACCTCGTCATATTTAAAGTGACTTTCTAGTTTGTGCCATGCTTCCTTATCCATTCTTCCAGTCTCTGTCTTTTAATTGGTGTGTTTAGACTGTTTACATTTAAAGTAACTGCTGGTAGCGTATGGATTTTCTTATACTATTTTGTTTTCCAATAGTCTCTTCTGTTTTTTGTTCCTCTTTTTCCTTTTTCTGCCTACTTTTGGCTTATGTCAACATCATTTAGTATTCAGTTCATAAATATCTACTGTGTCTTTAACACACTGTCTTTGTATTTTGTAAGTACAGGTGTCTGTGGATTGCACTATACATACTCAGCTTTTCATAGTCTCCTTGGAGGTCAAGTTTTACCACTTCAAGTGGAATGTAGCATCCTCGGCACCCGTTAGGACCTTTTATTTCCTAGTTGTCCTGTGTGTTGTGTTTATGTTTGTGGGAAACACTATCACACCAGGTTGTCATTTTGGCTTCACACTGTCAAAAACACATTTTAAAGACCTCAAGGGAAGAGCAGTCTCTTTCATTTGCCAATGTTTACCATTTCCATTCTGTGTCCATTCTTCATGTTCCAGTATCTTCCAGGTCACTCCCCTTCTGTCTGAGGAACTTCCTTCAGCAGTTCTTTCAGAGCAGGTCTGCCAGCCCCTGGTTCCCGTAGTTTACCTCGTCTGATCATTCCGGTTCCACCTTCATTCCTCGAAGCTGTTTGTGCTAAATGGAGAATTCTGCTCAGCAGTTCTGTTCTGTCCGTACTTTAAACGTGTCATGCCATTTCCTTTCTGCACCTGTGCTTTCTGATGAGAAGTCTAGTTATCTGAACCACTGTTCTTTTTATAGGGAATTAATTGTCTTTCTCTGTTTATAAGGTTTTGTTTGTCTTTAGTTTTCAGTACTTTATGATGTGTCTTCTAGGCATGATTTCCTTTGGGTTTAACTATTTTGGAGGCTGCTGAATTTTTTTTGGTGGGGGCACACACAGCTGGCCAGTACAGGGACCAAACCCTAGACCTTGGTGTTATCAACTTGCTGAACTTCTTGAATCTCCATTTCTGTCTTTCCTAAAATTTGGGAAGTTTTCATCTATTTTTTATTCTAATTTTTTTATTGTGGTAAAACATACATAACAAAATTGACATCTTAACCATATTTAAGTGCATGATTCTGTGGCATTAAGCACATCCACATGGCTGTGCAGCCATCACCACCATCATCGCCAGAACTTTATCATCTTCCCAAACTGAAACTCGGTCCCCATTAAACACTCACTTCCCGTCTCCCTCCCCAGCTCTTGGCACCCCCCATTCTGCTTTCTGTCTCTGTGGATCTGACGACTCTAGGGACCTCCTGTGAGTAGAATCACATGGTCCTTCTGTGACTGATTTATTTCACTGAGCATAATGTCCTCAAGGTTCATCCACGTTGTAGCGTGTGCCAGGATTTCCTTCCTTTTCAAGGCTGAGTAGTAGTCCAGTGTGTGGATGGACCATGTTGTGTTTGTCCATCCGTGTGTGGTGGACGCTTGGGTGGCTTCCACCTTCGGGCATCTGTACATGATGCCGCGTGGACATGGTGTGTGGCTCCTGAAGACTCTGCTTTCAGTTCTCTTGGGCATACCAAGGAACGGAATTGCTGGGTTACGTGGTGATTCTACTTTGAACTTTCGGAGGAAGCACCATGCTATCTGCACAGCGGCCGTGTCACCTCACACTCACCCACCACGCAGGAGGCTCCGTCCCGTTCCTGTCCTCACCAGCTCTTGTCATTCTCTGGGTTTCGATGGTGTAGCCCTCCTAGGGGCTGTGGGATGGCTGTGATTCTTCAGGTCCTCTTCTAGGCCTGCATTTTTCTCCTTTGCTTCTGGGATCTGGACGACAGGAATCTGACCTTTGGTGTAGCCCTCCTAGGGGCTGTGGGATGGCTGTGATTCTTCAGGTCCTCTTCTAGGCCTGCGTTTTTCTCCTTTGCTTCTGGGATCTGGACGACAGGAATCTGACCTTCTGTGTTGTTCCTCAGTCCCTGAGGCCTGTTCAGATTTGCCCAGTTCACCTGCTCTCTTCTGTCTCCACTTCATTCTGCTGTTGAGCCCATTCAGTGAGTTATTATTTTGGTTATTTTATTTCTCAGGTCCAAAATTTCCATTTGGTTCTTCTTTTTCTTTGCTGAGACTTTCTGGTTTTCTCCTGAACAGTGTTGGTGGTAGTTTGTTGGAGCATTTTCAAGTGCTCCTTTAAAGCTTTGGTCGGGTAATTTCAGTTCAGCCTCTGCCCCATCTCAGTGCTGTCTGTGGATGGTCTCTTCCACGTAAGCTGAGATCTTCCTGGTCCCTGCCTGCCAAGTAATTTTGGACCGGATCCTGGACGTTCTGAGCCCTGTGGAGAATGTGGTGCCTAGCTTCCAGCCACACGTTCTGGGGACCGTGCTTCCCAGGCCACGTCTGCCTCTGTTGCTGCTCAGCACTGCCTCTCGTGTGCGCCCCACGGCCAGTCCAGGACCGGGCGGTGGTCCATCTGACAGCATGTTTGCTGTGCTCTTGGGGGTGAGGTCTGCGTGCCGCACAGGCTAAACCCAGCACTTCAGAAGCACTTCTCCAGGGCACTTTGCTCTACAGGGCCTCCTCTCTGGGGCTCCCTGTACAGAAGGCGGGGGCTTTTGTTACCCCACTCTGTCAATGACCTCTTCCACAGCTGCACCTGCATCTGAGCCCAGGGGCAGGAGGGCAGGAGGCCAGATAATGCCGAACTTGCCAGCTGTGGTGGGGCTCTTGGAATCCAGTTCTGGTCCCCAGTCCTCCCATGGCTGTGGCTTCTCTGTGGCTGCCAGAGTGGCAGGTGCGGTGCTCACTCCACCTCACACACAGCCCTCCCGTCTTGTTTTCTAATAATCACCAGGTCACTGACACATAAGAAAGCATTTTGCAAAGTTTGAGAGGCAGGTGTGTGTGCAGCTGTTAGAAACACCTGTATCCTCTCTCTCAGGGTGAGAGCTCGGTCTCGGGGGACGGGAAGTGCAGCGAAGCCA